ATGACTAAGTTTTAGAGAAAATGGAAACAAAAAGGACACTTAACATCAGAAAAAGGCAGTTAAAATTTCTAGTGCACATAATGAGGAAATAGGGCTTGGAGAATTTGATACTCACAGGAGAGATTGAAGATAAAGAGAGACATAGGTGAAAGATGCACAAGCTGACTAATTAGGTTGGGTAAATGGATGGCGGAACAAGGTTTAAGAAAGATAACAAAAAGATCAAATTTATTAAGGGCCTAAAATGGACAGGAAATTGCAGAGAGCCATGATCGCCTATGTCCTGAAGAGACATGGCACATAAAAAAGATGAAAGAAACTGAAAAGGTTTGACAATCCATAGAAAACGAACCAATCAATCAATTAAACTTCAAGTAGGATTCATATACGATGCTGTAAAAATGGTCAGTTCTGTGAACCGTTGCAGAAAGTACCTAACTCTTCCTTACATGGTCGGTTTCTACAAAAAGGTTTTATTGCCGCTATACTTGAGCTAGAGTTACTCAACATCTTTCTAATCATGACAGTTTCAGAGATTTTACAGGATCTTTTTTTTTTCTTACTTTTCACGGTTTTCAGGAAATCAACTTTGGATAATTGCTTATGCCTATTTCACCCTAATGGCTTGTATTGGTGCAAAAGATGATGGGAATAAGAGGAAAAGAACAACTTTGGAGTTATCGCAAAAAGTGGAAATTTTAAACAGACTAGATGCTGGTGAAAGTTCATTGTAACTAATGGCTGAGTTCAACATAGGAAAGTCAACATTGTATGATATAAAATCTTCCAAAGAAACCATTCTCCAGCGTTCACACTGTCACAATGAACAAGGGAATAAAAAACATGATCGTGATGAAACCTGGATTGAAATTGAAAAAGATTTTGAAAAGGTTGTCAGTTTTATGGAAAGAAAGCTAGCATTCAGCTATGACAATTGCAATAACGCATGCAGAGTTAGTGTCTTTCGTTTAAAAAATTTCAAGAACAAAAGCAAAACAAAATGTGGAAAAAGTTGAGAATGACATTAGAAGAGAAAGAATCATCATGCAACAGCGATTAAAAAATCCTCGTTACATTATTTGTTTTGCATACGTGACATACTTAATTTAATGAATTTTATTAACATTACATAATTTATTTCTTTTTCCTTAAAATCAATTCTGTTATATTTCACTCATCATTAGCTTATTTTGTTTACTATAAAACATTGTAAAAAAATGTTATACCTGATTTCAGTTCTTTTATTTTAACCTAAATATAACCTCTCATATGCGGATTTGTAACCAATTCCTCATATCCGGAAGACCTTAGTCCAGCTGTCAGGAATTCTATTGTATTAAGAAACAAGAACATTTTGTTAGAAACAAAGAGAACTGAACTGTTATATAATATCTGTCCTACTCTATGGCAGTGATTGTTGGACAGTCTCCTCAAAGATGAAGAAAAGTCTTGAAATCTGGTTCTACAGAAGGATTCTGAGGATACAATAGAGTTAAAATTTCAGCAGCGACGGAGTTTTAAAGAAAATGCAAAAAAAAGAGTCATTGATACTTAACATCAGAAAAAGACAGTTGAAATTTCTAGGGCACATAATGAGGAAAGAGAGCTTGGAAAATTTGATACTCACAGGACAGATTGAAGGCAAGAGGACTAGGTAATCGGCGCCTAACCTACCCAACGAACTTTTGTAAATCGTTAGCAGCAGAATGTTTTGGAAAGATAACAAAAAGATAAAATTTGCTAAGATCGCAAGATTTTTTCAGCACAGGAAATAGTGGAGACCCATGATCGCCAACGTTTTGAAGGGTCGTGGAACAATGAAGAAGAAGAAGAAGAAGAAGAAGAAGAAGAAGAAGAAAACCCTGAGGATAGCAAAAAGACAAAGGACAGGGGGCTTTCCTCCCAGATTCTTCTGAGAGGATTAGCAGGGGAGAAGAAGTGTTTTTTTTTCCCGTCGGGATGGATGCTGCAGATGTAATATCTGTTCCGTGCCGGTGACCTTCTCTCTTCCTTTGCGTTGTTAGCCCCCTCCACCGTTGTGTGACATCTCTTACGCAGCGGTGATATATAACCGGCTATAACTAGCTTACACAAGCTATGATCAGCTAAGTCCAGCTTAGACCAGCGGCCAGAGTGGAAACACTCGGGTCCCCACGTTAAAAACCGACCTTGTGTCACAACCTAGCTCAGTGGGGGTCAAGTAAATCTCAGGCTAGAAAGGACAGGGATAGTGGAGACCCATGATCGCCAATGTTTTGAAGGGCGGTGGCACATAGAAGAAGTTCACGAAGATTTCTAAACTGACGACATGAATTGAGATTCTAATATGAAGAAAAAATATACGGAAAAACAAACAAAAATCCTAATATGCAATTATGCTGTTTTAATGTTAATATAATGTCAACGTCGGACGTTTCGGTCTAGTAGACCATCTTCAGGACATATTCATAAAACATAATTAACATTAGACTATATTCAATTCAACATGAAAAGACGATGGACATAAGAGTAAGACTAATCAAAACAGACAACTGAAATTTTTCAAGATCAGCGTTGCGTTTCAATATGTGACCTCGTCGGCGTCACGTCGGCGATGTTGTGAAAACGTATTCATGGAAAATATGTGAAGATGATTTCAAAATATATTAGATAAGCTCGATTGAACGATTTTCTCATATAAACAGTTCGTTAAGAAATCCTTTCTGTTCTTATAGGAATACGCGGAGATCAATAGCTTCTTATATTTTCGTATAAGCTTGAAGTCTTCCATGTTATAAAATAAATTCAGTTTTGTATTTCCAGTAGACAGTATGTAAGCAAATATATCGATATAGATCCGACAGTATGAAGAAAAAAATATACGGAAAAACAAACAAAAATCCTAACATGCAATTATGCTGTTTTAATGTTAATATAATGTCAACGTCGGACGTTTCGGTCTAGTAGACCATCTTCAGGACATATTCATAAAACATAATTAACATTAGACTATATTCAATTCTAATATATAGGAGCCCAATTAGATTTCGATTGTTATCAATAATTATAGCGCAATGAAGTAGAGACATTTTTAAAATAAAAATGAAAAGGTCATGTAATATCTAATCAGCCATATTTCCTATCAACCTTATTCATAGAGAATCCTTATTAAATTTTACAAATGATTAAGATGTTTCGCCTTCTTCATGCTTTATTTGTGCGTTCTAATGTTAAGATGCTTTTAATATGGCGGTACAAAAGTAAAAACACGAAGAATCTTTATAATTGAGAAATAGACTTAAAAATCTTCACCCTAAACTTTGCACTAAAAGTGCAAAACAATTTATTTTTCTTTTATTATGCTACTTGATTCCGGGGGGAACATTGGGCCTCGACAATATCTTTTCAACGGACGCGGTTCTAGGCGATCCTCTTCAGCTTGGCCCATGTCGTACCAGCTGCCTTCACCACTGGGTTAACACATCTGCGCCGAGTCTGTTTTGGTCGACCCACTTTTCGCTTCCATTGTGAATTCTAGTCAAGGGCCTGCCTGGTGACACTAGAAGCAGGATTGCGGAGTGTATGACCGATCCATCCCCATTTCCGTTTCTTGATGACAATCTTGATTGGAGTTTGTCTGGTCCTGTCCCACAGTTGGTCGTTGGAGACAATTTCCGTCCACCTGATATTAAGGATGTTTGTGAATGTTAGTAAATGTCCAATTCATTTTTTATTGAATGGTTTCTTTTTTTTATGCCTCTTAATTCCTTCGGGTACATACGACCGCAACAACACCTCTCCAACGGACGTGGTCCCGGGTGATCCTCTTCAGCTTGGCCCACGTCGTACCGGCTGCCTTCACCTCTGCATCAACACTTCTGAGCCAATTCTGTTTTGGTCGACTCAATTTTCGCTTCCTTTGTGGAATACAATAGTTCTGATTAATTAAATTAGATTTTAATTTATCATTGTCAGTTTTTAAGATTTCAAGATGGAAGATGGATGTCGATATTTTTTAGAAGCACTGAGGTCTAAAATAAAAGATGTTAGAGAATGTAACTTTCTGTAATTGTCGCACGAGTGAGAGGGGTGCTGTTCAGTGTCTTGGTTTGGGGCCAGGGTTCAGAGTTATCGAAGCAACGACAGTTAGACGTTAAGTCAATGGTCTGCCTAAAAAAGGGTTTCAAAGTCGGTTGCCTCTGGGCGAATTGTCGAAGTAAGAAAAGAGTTTGACGGGATGGAAAAATGAAGAAAACGGGAAAGGAAGAAAGGAAAAAAATGCAGGTTGCGAAAGAGAAAAAAACAAAACAATGAAAAGGGAAAATGGGTGGCGGATTGATAGCGTAAGTTACGAAAGTAATAAGCGGGAACAAAATAAGAAAGAAAGAAAGAAAGAAAGAAAGAAAGAAAGAAAGAAAGAAAGAAAGAAAAGAGAAAGAAAGAAAAGAGAAACGTGGAAATAAATAAATGAAGAAAAAAAGAAAGAAAAGAGAAACGTAGAAAGAAAGAAAGAAAAGAGAAACGTAGAAAGAAAGAAAGAAAAGAGAAAGAAAGAAAAGAGAAACGTGGAAAGAAAGAAAGAAAGAAAGAAAGAAAGAAAGAAAAGAGAAACGAAGAAAGTAAGAAAGAAAGAAAAGAGAAACGAAGAAAGAAAGAAAGAAAGGAGAAACGTAGAATGAAAGAAGGAAATAAATAAATAAAGAAAGAAAGAAAGAAAGAAGAAAGAAGAAAGAAACGTTGAAGGAAAGAAGAAAATAAAGAAATAAAGAAAAGTGACAGCAGTGTAAAAAGAGGAACATGAAAACGGTAGCAGAATTGATTGAGTAATTTGTTGTTTTTTTCCGGCTTATCAAGTTTTTCTGGGTTAATGAAAACCGAAATATATTTCGGGTTGTAAGGATTATTTTTCCGTTGGGTGTGAATATTGCACTCACACTTTTTTGAGAATAACACTGAATTTTCAAGATATAACATCTACTATTTAACCCATAGCTGAGGGAAGCGATGGACTCATACCTTTC